GAGTATATAACGGTTATTTACAGTAGGAGAGGGAGAGAGCGAAAGGGAGAGATGTGAGTCTGTAGGTATATATGTATATAGGGTTATATAGGGATAATGGAAAAGAAAATGGAAACTATCATAATGGGGTTATATAGGGATTATAGGGTATATTTTTGGGGGTTTCTAATGGGATAGTGGAAAATAAAATGGAGACTACTATAGTATATTGATATAACCCCACTATATACCCCTATAATCCCTATAGTAGTTTCCATTTTCTTTTCCATTATCCCAATATAACCCCCTATATTCTATAGTAGCTTTCAGGTACGAGCGAGGATGGCGCTTCCACAAGGGCGAGCAGTTGTGGATTACACAGCAGACCCAGGACTGCAGAGCCCTGGCGATCTGTCAACATTATGATTACCGCTCTGACTATCAGAAGCAGTAGAAGCATTTTGAAGAATGATCATGTTCTTGATCTCTTTTTGTATTTGTGCCACGCTTTTCATCACAATGTGATGCCCAGACTTGCAGTCGAATATCGGAATTCATCTATGGCACCCTCTAGAATTCCTGTAGTTTCCATTTTCTTTTCCATTATCCCAATATAACCCCAATATATTTTATTAGGTACTCTGCACTCTGAAGGATGATGGCCAGGGCAACAGGCGCAATGTCTACTGGGATCCAGCGGGCTGGGAGATGAAGTTCCTCCTGAAAGATGCCGGGCACATACCTTCACAGAAGGTATATAACCCCTATATAACCCTTATATAACCCCTATATAACCCTTATATAACCCCCATATAACCCTTATATATCCACTATATAACTCCTATAATCCCTTACATAATCCCTTATATGGAGCCTGACATGACCGTGCCAGCTTTGCAGAAGTGAGTGTGAACTGTCCATGTGTAGGCGTTGCGAAGCAATCGTGTAACCTAGGTGTGTCAGCACAGAGGGGAGTCATGGGAATTAAGCTAAGGTGGACCCCATGCAATATGCCTCCAAGGTGCCGGGCCTGTCAGATTTCCATGTTGCACTTGCAGGTAGATGTGAGCTTTTCTCAGTGCTTCTTCATTGGGATCCTGAATATGAATATGTTTCAATAGGTCCGCGAATTCAGTGCACATGTGGGTGAATGAGTGTACGTTATGTATACAAGCGTATATCTCTCAAATCAGAACCAAGACCTCCCCCTGTAATATGGGGCCCTAAATCGGTTCCCCATTCAGGGAGAAGTCGTTTAGGCAAAGTCTCATCCATGTGGAGGATTAGAAGCGCGGGTCTAATCCAGAGTTTCTATGAGGTTTGATGGATACTCATGTCCACAGCCTCCAGATGCCCGTGGTACACAAGCGCAGACTCGCATTGCTGTCCCTTCTGGCAAGGAGGATGTGAAGATCAAGCAGCAGGCGCAGCAGTGATGTCTGTTGAGAAGCGGTTTCGACGGAAACCGCTCTGACCCTTGCCCTGTGGCTAATGAGACTACAACGAGAAGCGTGCCCGTTCTGATTAAACTGCTAATAGCTTTGTCAATGATATCCTTTCAGAGGTGCTAGATGCGAGAACTTGAATCGGGGCGGGCATTGCCATGGCTGTTGCGGATGGTCTTGCGTTCGATACGGACGCAGATTAGCCGGATTGTGCCCATGACTGACCCACGATGCGTCCGCATGTGGCCAGATGGGACGCCTGAGGTTCGGCTGTGTGATAACAGCGCTGACACAGAAAAGGAACTGCGGCGGCATTCAGCTTGTCAAGCTCTCCGTAGAATGACCCCCATTCCTTACTTCCCCACTTGTCTTGCAAAGCATGGCGCAGCATTTGATGGCTTTGCTCTGTGCTGGTTTGTCTCTGGGAGGGGCACTGTGCTGCAGATTTTTTGTTCAGCCATAGCCCAGGGTCCCCGGGGCTACGTGAAGCTATTTCTCGCCATGGAAGGCCTGCAGAATCCAAGGAATTCCTCTTCCACGTTAACGTTTACAACGTGAGCTCTGTCATGTGATGGGACTGTTTACGGATCAATGTGTTGAAGTCTCTTTAGCGATTCTAACAAGTTTCTGCCTGCGTAATCGAGCAGTATATGGGGCATGCTAAATTATTAAAAAAGATGTTAATGGCTGACGCAGGTAGTCAGACAAACTGATATCCACAAAGCGCGTCGTAGACGTGAAATAATCATACTCTTAATCACAATAATAACCGAAGGAAACCTGGCAAATCATCCTCTGATAACTGCGCAGGCGTTCTGTGTCTTCTGCAGCAGAGACATTGCTGAAACGTGGGTCATAGACCTAAGCCTGGGCAGGCAGGGCTGGCTGTGTCCTACCGAGGCTAGCGTTGCTACCCTAAACCCTAAACTGCAGGCATGAGTACCAGTACTCGTACTAGGACTAGCAGAAGTAAAGCAGCTGAGCAGCATTCCTATTGAGATGGGTGTTGATGATGTGCTGGAATCTGCCACTGCAAGAGTTGCTGCGGGCTAGTTTCCAATGCGTACCATGTCCAGGGCATCTCCAGGTCATCTGTCCAGACATTATTAGTATGTCATCTAATTATCATGACTGCTAGCGACGCACATCATGCTGCTCAATATGTTCAAGCGCTGCTACTCGTCTCAGAGTTTTTGGCCTTCTGCCGCCAGAGCTGCTGGTGCTGCTGCCGCTGCCATTGCTGCCGGCGCGACGATGGCTGCTGCTCCTGCTGCTACTCACTGAATGCTGCTGCTGGTGCTGGTGCTGCTGGTGCTGCTGCTCTTGCATCTCCTGCAACGACTAGTACAGCAATTAGAACCACTTCCACAACTACAACCACCGCTGCCCGCGCAACCCCCGCCACCGCCACCGCCACCGCCACTACTGCTGCAGCTATGCGTTTGATGCGTGGCAAAGTCAGTCATGGCCCTTGACTCGCCTCCTCGTTAACTTACCTTCTGCGAGGATGGGAAATGCAAGTGGCACCGACTGCAGCTGCAGGAGGGCGCAGTTATGGTCCAGAGGGGAATGCGCAGAGCGAGCAGAAACAATGAGAAGATGGCAAATGGTTGAGACAGTGACGAGCAAGCGCAGCAGTGATAGTGATGATGTCTTCATATCAGTGCTGTTCGTCATGGTATGCATTGTAAGCACAGTAAACCCAGCAGCCAGGGCCACATCAAGAAAAGTGACAAAAGAGTTTGGAGTTTGCGGAGCTTGGCAATTGTCAATTTTGGGTTGCTTTCGCTGTAAATCCGAGACTTGCTTACTGGACAACGTCTCTGCTGTTCATTCTGAGAGTCGCGCCTGGGAAGGAGAGATTGCTGTGCGCCCCCCGTTGCCGCGTCCTTGGCTAGTGCTGTGCAGGGTGCCACTTGCTGCAAACTTTGAAATTCGAGAGCTGCACGGCGCAGTGCATCGGCGCACATCGCGTGGGCCTGTCTTTTAGGACAGGAACGTCGGTTTCGAGTACATCTCCGAAGGCCTGACAGCTTTAGGATGCACAGTCTTCGAATCTTTGGAGTTCGAAGACCCTCAGCCTTTTCAATCTGCCGGCCTGCTCCCGCGCTCTGGAGGTCCAAGCTCTGAGATGGTGCGTTTGGAGGAGAATCCAGGCAGACATGCTGACACATTGAAAGATAGCTGATACCTGCTGCCGCTGCTGCTGCTGCTGCCGCTGCTGCTGCTTTGTTGTTGCTGTTGTTGGGTGAGGGTTGCTGTCAGCTGATGAACAGCAGCAGCACTGGCCGCAAAGTTGTTTTCTGAAATTTCATATTGCCACCAGGCACAGGCACTCCTACGCAGAGCCGCTGCCTGGCGTTGCACTGTGCTTACTCGATAAGCCGACAAACAAAGTGCTGATTTTTCAGAGAAGGCAGGTGTCAGCCGCGAGTGCATCCTTGCGAGAACCCTCAGTCCTCAACCCTAAATAATACGATGAGGCCAGCATCTCTCGGAGATGCAGCCAGACCGCTGCAAGAGTACAGGCGCCTGCTTTGATGACAAAAGCCATTCTCAAAGTAAAGGTACAAAAAACAAAGTTTGTGACACAAACGCAAGACCTAATTTAGAAACTGTCCACACGTTCACGTTCACGCACTCATTGGGATGTGCGCATGTCGTGGATTTCCGTGTGCACTATGCACCTGTGCAAGTACATTATAATAGTTTCCATTTTCTTTTCCATTATCCCTACATATACCCCTATATAACCCTATTATGATATAGAAGCTTCCATTTTCCTTTCCATTATAACTGCTGTGCTTTGTTCAAGGATCTACAAAGCTGAGCTGAAGCCGATAAATGGGGGTTTCCCAAAATTATGGGTACCATTTTGAGGTCCCCATAATAAGGACTATAGTATTTTAGGATCTATATTGGGGTACCCGAATTTTGGGAAACTACCAAATGCCAGGATCAGATTCTACAACTTCAACATGGGAAATAGTCCCAGCCTCGTCTTGGGCAGAAGGGGGATGGCCAAAGTTTAAAGTATTCATCCTACAATGAAGTACAAGTAACATAGTGGAAGCAGATAGCTAGGTGATGCTGGGAGCTTCTCTGGCTGCTAAGATTCCGATTTCCGATCTGTGGATGAGCTGTCTGGACCAGGTGGGAGGTAGATTGGAGGGTTCAGAATCGGCTTACCTCGTTCTTACCTAGCATCCATTGGGGTCAACCTCATCCAATGGCAACTTCATGGGGCTTCCTAGCGATTGATGAGTCTTCTAGCCACAAGAAGTCAGAAGCATAAGCCTGTGCCGCTGCTTGCCTGCGAAAGCTTCCGAAGACCCGGTATAGTCCTGGAAGGAGGGCGGGGTGCCTTCAGCGATGCCCTGTCCGAAGCGTTGGCAGATGGCCGTTCGCTGGACGTGTCCTTCGCAACTTTTGTCGAGGCGCTTCAGATCACTCCTCCCGTTTCTTGAGACAAGTTTCCACAGCGCTAGTCACAACATGTCACAAAAAACCGCACTAGCCCTGAAGGGAGGATGCCCAGCCAGCACATATATCAAGTGTCTTCTGCATAGACAGGGCTGCATTTATCATGGGTCATATTCCCAAAAGCACGACGTGGGTAGGCTTTGTGCGTGATCTCCCCTCTTCTGCCAGACGCGTTTGAACTTCACGAATTGGGTGACCAAGTACATGTCTGGTGACCAGCCTTGGACCTAGTCTCTGCACATTCCCTTGATGGGGTTCATCTGTAGAGCTGAACACCGGCTGTTGGCCAATCAGCCATGTGGCCAGAAGGCCAGGCAATCAAGCCTGGAGCCTCCAAAACGATTCTTTTCTTCCGCTTGCTTCTCTTGTCACTTGTCTTTGGGGTGGTGACAGTTATCGAGGAAGCCACGCCTGGACTCCCTGCTGACACAGAGCGCCCGACGCGAGGAAACTTTGGGCAGTTGGGTTCTGGGCTTGCTCGGATTGTCGGAGTTCGTTGTTGGGATGCCTGCCTGTAGCCACTGGCTGAGTGTGGCAACTGTTCTTTGCTTCCACATGGGTTTGGATCGGTATCCTTCAGGGATTCCAGTCTTGCTGTCAGGCATTCTGAGCTCCCCGATGTTGCCTGTCTGCCAGGGCAGCCTTAGCTCGCGAAACGTGGTGCGCAGCTTTGTCGAAGGCCCGTGCAGCGGGTACATGGCAAACTAGCTGCTGTGCAAGTATCGGGGCTGAGTTCGGTTCCGCTGTCTCGGGAAATCCTGGGTTTGGTGCGTTGAGTGCATAGCTTTCCAGAGACCTCGCAGCTGTGCAAACTTGAGGCTTGGCTGCCAGCTACAACGGGAACTTGAAATCCATGTGCCGGACTCGGAAATCGGGGAAACCGCGTGCCTTTCAAGAGCAAGCTCTTCTTCAAACAGTTGCAAGGCTTGCCTTCTGCAGTGATGAGTTCACGGAGGCCCCGAGGGAGAAGCAAAGCAAGCGCGAACAGGTTTCCAGGTAATTACACGAGGCCTAGTCTAGCAAGACTCCGCTGCGCAAAGCCGGATAAAGACAGACAAGCTAACGCTTCCAAGCTCCGCATTCAACGCTGCAGGACAAGACGGGAGGCCTCTTCGGAAGACTCACAGAGAAACAGGTTGGAGGAGGGCCGATGATGCTTGCGGGGATTGAGCTCAGCTCTTGCTAGGTTGGAAACCACGCACTGCGGAATAGAGAGATAGCCATCATTCAGGCTGTCGCAGTCCACACATGGCCACGTAAGTAGATGTAAGGATGCCCCAAGGCACTGCTGTATCAACTCTGCGGAGACCCAGAGTTCCCTTTTCCCGTTCAAAGGTATTTACTCTAAAATCTATCACAGACCCCCCCCCCCCTTTCAGCTTGATCCGATTTGGGCTCCAGGAGTTCCTGTGCCGAACCCGAAGAAGGAGGGGCTGGTAACAGTTCTGGAGCTGTGAGTGTGAGAACTGAGGGGCCCCTAAATCCCCAAGCCCATATGCCGCCACATCTCCCTATATCTCCCCATATCACCCTGACCCTAGATAAGCCCTATAAATCCTGAAGCGGCGGCCATCTAGGCCTTCATCGGACGGAGCCTGGTTCTACCCAGCGGAACTGGGGAAGGCTTACCCAAAGCAACATCTTAGCTGTGTGAGGGTTTGAGGTTTGAGGTGTTGGGGTGTTTAGGCGTTGGACCGTACTGAATCATGCTGACATTTTTGGGATGTAACGTGTCTATGAAGTCTTATGTCTAGTAGAAGGTGGATGGCATGGGCCTTGCCACCAGCTTTCACCAGATGGCCTGATGCTGTTCCCAAGCCAGACCGCTCAAATCCTGAAACTCCAGTTAACATGAAACAGCTGTGCAGGCATTCGGCTTTGTTTCGTAAGTTGTCACTTCCCGATCACGCAGATCGCCGCAGCGCTGGAGGACAGCAATCCCAAATCCGGATATGTGCTAACGCCGCCGTCCACCCTAATTCTGATTCACGAAGCAGCTCTAACATTGTCCTCCTTGTCCAAAAGCCTCTGAGCCCCGCACAGGACCCACTGCAGGATCCACTGGAAGCAGCCAAGATCGCCTTGGCCAAAACGCTGCGCAAGGTGGCAGGGGAAGGGTCTCTCACAGCATTCAAGAGCTTTATCCACGCGCTGCTGGAGTTCCGTTGCAGCTGCAGCTGCTTTGTGGGATGACTTCAGCATGTCAGGTGCTTCGCAAAGCTCATCAAAGGACCTCCCAAACAGAGTGTGTGTTCTTGACAGTGGGTCTGTTCTATCTACCGACAAGTCTGGCAGCCCCGTTGGCGTCAGGAACGTCACCGACGAGCGTACCATCATCTTTGTCCAAGGGGACTGCTCACACGACTTCTAGCATTATTATCATTAATTTGCTGAGTGGCGGCATCGCACGTGTCATTCATGCACGTCTTATCAGTATGATTGTGAAACTGGATCGTGGGAGCAGTGGGCATTGAGAAGTTCCATTCGGCTTCGGAAGCGGTCCTAGTTTCCGGAGTACCTGCTGGCCAAATTGGAGGACATCAACAGCAGAACCGTGCTTCGAGAGGGAGAGGCTGGGAGTTAGCCCGTTTAAAGTTCCTGTATGTACATTCCGAATTCACGTGAGTTCCCTAGAGTAGCCTGTTTTTGATAATCTCGCTTCTGGCAGGTGAACGATGTACTCCTGGAACTGCTGGAAGATGAGTCGCTTCAGTCGGCAATTCAGCAGCAGGCCTCCGTCTGCTGTCCCCTGATCATGGACCCAGCGCTGTCTGTGTTGAAGTTCAAAGCTTTGAAACCTCCTTCTTTCTGGTTGTCAATATCAACACAGCGCTTGGGAAGATATTCACCTTGCCCAGCATTCGCAGTTGGACGATTTGCCTGCTGGGCGATGGCGCGAAGCCGTATCGCATGACAGCGCCCGGATCCCATTGGCGCAAGAAGTGACAGCTGCATATGCTGTCCATATGTTTTTAAGCTACTGACTGTTGTTGCAGGCAGTCTGAGTCTCAGTGCATACTTGATAGTGCGAAGCAGCGACTCTTCTTCCTCCATTTCAGCATACGAGCGGCTTGATCATGTGTAAAAGTCAGCCTGCCCTGTGCTTTCCAAGGTGCATGATCTACCTGTAACTTATAAATTCAACAACAAGAAGGTGTGCCAGACTGGCAACAGCTGGGTGCTTGGGAAGAACTGCACAATCGAGAAATCAACAATGACCATGACAGAGTTGCAGCAGGCAGCAGTGCGTCGCAGTTGAATTCTTCGGAGCCTGAGCTAATGCCTCAGGTCCTGCACGCCGACGCCCGGAGCATTCCCCCAAAAGCGAGGATGAGTCAGGCTTGGGAAGCAGGGATGACATTGGATGACCAGCGAATCTTAGTGACCCCGGTGGTGGTGGTGGTGGTGGTGGTGGTGGTGGTGGTGGTGGTGGTGGTGGTGGTCATCGCATCGTGATGGTGGTGGTGGTGGTGGTCATTGTGATGGTGGTCATCGTGGTGCTGATGGTGGTGTTCGCGGTGGTGATGGTGGTGGGAGCTGCGAGCTGCGGTAGAACTGTACAGCAGAGTGGGACAGCGACTAGGGATTGGGAAGGCAAGGAGCAGGTGCAATCGTAGGAGTTTTAACAAGCAGTTGTTTCAGTGGTAATGAGGTCGAAGGACAGCTGACTTTGGCTGATGCATGGTTGGCAGCTTCATATATTGGAAGGCTTAGGCAGTTCCAGGAGAGATCACTTGGTCTCGAGTTTCCAAGCTGTGTTTCCATGTGATGCAGTTTCAGACCACGAGCGTTACCTCACCATAGGCGCTGCCCCAAGCAAGGAGGTCATGCCCATTTGCTGTGGTTGTGATCTTGTCTGCAGGGGCAAGCATTTTGCCCGGCTGTTGTTGAAGTTCGTGCGCATGCCAGACATTCGAACCGAGGTGATGTAATGTCCAAGGCGTCTGCTCCCAAGATGCCAGAGAAGTCAGTGCAGAAGCAAGACTCGCAATACGCTCCAATGTTCTGCCCAGCCTAGGCGATTACGCGCCGATTCTGCCCCAGACCTGCTGACAAAGGCCAGGGCCCTTCTGCGTGATTGCAGATGCTGTGTTGCGAAGTGTTTGTTCTGGCCTGGCACTTGGAAGCGTCGTTTTGAGGGTCAAACCTCGTTTGGTCAAGCCGCCCCCACTCCTCTGTCGGAAGCTGTGCAAGGCATGATCATACACTAAGTTCGCTCACTTTTCCAATTCTTTCGGACCCGCTTAGGGTCTGCCCCAAGCAAGGCTTGGCAAGATGGAACGGCTGGCCAGTTGTTTCGTGCACTAGAAGAAGTAGGCTGATTCCTGGTTCGAGGTCAAAACCACCTCCACGACTAGCAGCAAGCCACGACCTTAGCCTCGAGATGTGTGGTGCTGCTTCGCTATGCTTTTGCCAGAACATGCAAACATGCAAACATCATGGGGCCCCCCTGCCTTGCAAACTGTGGAGAGACTCAGAGCCCTTCAACTTCTCAGGCGCTTCGAAGGTGGTCTTTACAAAAGGCCTGAACTCCAAGCTTCTGATCTTGTGAGTGTTGCAAATGCAGAAGGCTTCGGCTTTTGTTGCGTGGCAGGACCTTGGCAACTCTGGGACAGGAATGGCTGGACAACTGGGGAGTTGTGTTAGTCCCAGTTGCTCTTCCCTCGGGGCTGTTGGTTTCGCTCCTGTGTCAGCTGAAATTTCATGTTTCTCCCCAAGCCGACCTCACTGGACATTGAAAGTGTGAACCCTGTCTCCTGACATGCGCAGGCCTTCAAGCAGAAGGACTTCCGATCTTTCAGGTGCGCAAAGATTTGGAGATTAGATTAGATCTGCAACTCTGCAACTTGGACGCTGCCAGAGCAAAGCGGTCAGGACCTCCTCTGGCATCAAGAAAGGATCCTCAACAGAGCCCCTAAGAGGGGACATTTTCGTTGGCATCTTGCGATGCTGCAAATTGCTGCAATCCTTTGTTCAGATGTCACAGTTCCGCTCAAAAGGTTCACCTTATGTTATTGTTGCTGGGGCCAGCCCCGCTTGCAGAGAGAGCAGTCTACAGCATCGGATTTTCCTTTCCCATAATCATGACATGTCTCATCGGTGACTTTAGGTGAAGATCTGCATCGCCAGGTTTCCTTCCTGTGCTGACCGCGTGATCTACTGGGCTTCGGATGCGTTGTACGACCGGTTGAGCTGGGAGCTGCCTAGGGGCGGTTACGAGGCCTGGTGCTAACTGTTTTTCTTCATTCTTGGGAGTCCATTTGTTTGATGTTGTTTTCTCTATTCATTCCAATGGTTATGAAGCCGAAGTGCTGTAGTGCAGTGATAATCGTATATCTGGCCATCAATTTCCAACCATGAATGGAGATGTGAGCATTTGCAATCCCATTCGGCCACATGGAGCGCAATTATGCTCAGTCCTCTTCTGTAGAGCATTGTAGGTCTTGCTGGCTTCTGTTTGGAGATTTGCATGCCCTGATTTGATTGAGCATGTATGTATGCGCTTCCGTGGCGAGATCAACCACTCGCAGCTGGGCAGCGATCATCGTCCTGTCTCCCTGGAGGCTGGTAGCCTCAAGCATCACCTATGAAAAGGCTGCAATGCCTCTTATCCATTTCCTGCGCAGTTGATCTTGAGAGTCTCTGACGAGCCCATACGAAACTCAAAAGCCCTCAAGCCAGCGGCGCACCCAGCAGCAGTACCTCCAGATCAGGATGCAGAAAAGGTAGCGCACCTTTGCCAATTTTTTCTTACCTAAGGCGCGCAGCTACATGACGGAGGCGCATTGCTTCTCTGACTTTTTCGTAGTTTTTAGCATTTTTGTGAAGACAAAGTGGTTGACTGTTCTGAACTGCACTGAACTCCTCGAGTCTTGCACAGGGCTTCCTGTCGGAGCCCGACGACCCCTCCATGTCAGAGGCAGAGGTGCCATGGCCTGCATAGACATGAACGCGTGCGTCTGCTCTGAAAGTTCGCAATCAAGCACAGCTCGTATCAGTGAAAAGATGTCCCTAAAGTTTACCCAGGAGGATGGCTTCTCCTGCGAGGCCACGCCAAGGAGCTTCCAGAGAACATCAGGGAACATGATCGTCTTCATGCATCTTCATGTTCTCAGAGAGGTTGCTGAAGCCAGGACAGTTGCATCCTCGCCGCCTGCGTTTGGAGAAGCCAGGTTCTTGGTGCCAGATTTGATAGTTGCTGGTGGACTGGAGAGATCTGGAGAGCTTGGTAGCGCTTCCTGCATGCTCTTGTTTGACCCTTGTTCGGCCCTGTTGGCTGAGTACCCTCCCTCTCTTGTTGCCTCCACCTCCATGCGTCATGATTCAGATTCGGCTGCTTTCCTTTGTTGGAGTTATGGTAGTGCACTGCTAGACAGGCGCCAAAATGTGCCAACGAGTGCGCTTCAATCTGTCACTTACCTCTGCCTCGCAGGCATGGTTGAAGCCTCTGCTTGGCAGGGGTTTAGATGGCTTAGGCGCGGTCGCTCAGCCGCCGCCGCTCTGAGTCAGATGCCAGCGCTATCTCCAGCAGGTATCTGGCCTCTGACGGGACCCAAGTCTTGGAAAGTCTTGCGCATGTGTTTACGTTTTTTTGTTTTTTATTTTTCCTCTCTGGCCTCTGCTTGAGGATCAAGACGAGTGAGAGTCTCCTTGCCAAAGGGCAAGCTGCAGAAAAAATGGATCGTTTCATGGACGGCTGCCAAGTGGTCGTTCGGCTCTGGGGCCTCCTGACAGCGGCCATGTTGTAAACGAAGCTCGCTCGTTGGAGTCAAGCTTTTGTTTCCAGCCATTGTCAGCATGCTCTCGAGCATGTGGGAGTCTTTGCAATTTTGATCGCTGGGCAGCGAGCCCAGTTGGGAGTGAGAATCATGGTACATCAGTTGCTGGCAGTGACCGAAGCACGCCGGTGCAAAGCCGTTGCTCATGAGAGATGGTAAACATTATCGCCCAAGGTGAAAAATCACTAAGTAGGCTACACGGTTCTTCCGTGTAGTTTTTGTGACGAGAAGGCCTTCTAACCTGCCTCGTGCGCAGCCTGTTTTTCCTGCGCTAGGTTGCCGACGAGGCATAGTAAATCTCCGAACTGGCCCTTGGAGGCCTGCATGTATTTTCGAAGATGCCCGGGATGATGCGGTGTCACGACATTAAGTTCTTGACCTCCTGCATCATGGATCCTCCCCGATATCAAATTGGGATATCTGTCTCGCATTCCGACTGCACGACGAGGGAGAATCGCCTGTGGCTATTTACGGTTTCACAAGCTCCAGAGCTCGGATTTGGTTACCAGATTCTATGGTGTGCCCACCCGGGCTAGCAAATCTTGTGCTCTGATTGACAAAAATTGCATATCGCTGTCAGCAAGCCCAGCTGCAAACTCTGGGTGTCAAGTGGCAGTCAAGTAGCAGCTCGTTTTACAAAAAGACTAACACCCACAGGCTAAGCTGTAAGTATGCGGGGCTGAACATGCGGGTGACTGACATGAGCTAACGCGGCCATATCCGCTTTTCTAATCCAGAGAGGACTCCAGTTAGTCGGGAAGGTTTCTTTTTTGTTGGATTTTCCTTTTTTTACGTCGGGGCTGCGATGCCATTTACGGGTGTGGTTTGGGCGTTCTTTCTCGTGTGCATCATGTGAGAAAATTCAGGGTGCGTGGCCTCCACTTGCACTGCAAGCTTCAAACGGCCTGTGCCTGCGGTTCAGTTCATGGCGTAGTAATCAGTAAGTGACAAGCTGCATGGGCGTATCCTGGCTCAAGACGAGCCTGTATTATCATGGCCTGCGGCTATGCTCCCAAGACTGCCAGGTGCCTATGTGAAATTGTGTGCAATTTTTCCACAACAACTTGGCAGCTGATTGAAGGCACATTGAGGCAAGGTCGTGTTGCCAAGAAGTTTGGTCTACATGCATCAGGTCCCCTCCCAAATTTAGTCCAGACTCCCGAATCCATTCTTAGGCACAGCACTCCCGCAGCTACCACAAGGAGGCTCTGCCCTTTACTGATTGGAAGCTGCCGCTGTCCCACCTCATGCGTAGCCACCTGCTGCCCCAAAATGCTCGGAGCCATTCATGTCAAACAGCTGTCTTGCACAACGCAAACTTTTGTGCTTTGTATCTCTTGTTTTTCCATCAGGGTCTATTCTATCATACCTTATTGGTAATAGTATGTACTGTTTCCTTCATGCTCCTTTGGGCCCTGTCAAGGCCTTGCGATCGGTGTACAGAAGGAGGCCAGGGAAAGATGGGGAAAGCGTGAGTGAGGGTATGGAAAGAGTTGGTGTAGAATGTAAATGTGGTTGTACGGGGCCCGTGATACAGCTGCTGAATTTGAGGAGGTTGTATGTTCGTAGTAGGACACCTTGCAGCAAGCGTTTCTGTGAAGGTGTGGCCTCTATTGGCATGTCACAGCTCGAGGTATGCGTCAGGTTCCAGTTGCTAACTTGTAATCTTGGATAGGTCGACTCTGAGGGAGGCCAGCTGAAAGCTTGTCCGTCACTCCTCCAATACCACATAAGGTAGCCCTCATCTTGCACCGCGGCTGCGGCAGATTGTACAGCACTGTAAAGGCAGTTTTTGTCAAGAAGATGTGAGGTTGACGAAAAGGACCATGAAGATCCGCGAAGCATTCTTCCTTCCCTGCTTGGTTTGACTCCTGGAGCCGCTGACAGCAGCCGTGAGGCTGGAACACCTGGGCCTGAAGCTCCAACAGCTTGAGCTGGAAGGTCTCAGCTGGATTCTCATCCTTGGCAGTTTGGGCTGCGCAAGCCATCATGCTATCTTGAAGCTAGTGACAAAAACAAATCATTCAATTTGGGGCTCATCTCCTTCCTGTAACTGTACTTGTTGTTTCAGAGACCTTCTTGGAGAGGGTGCGGGAAAGTCTTTGAATGGGCCAGGTAACCGAGAACAGAAGGCCTCTGAAACTGAAGGCCTCACGCACTGGCACTTAAGATCAGTCAGGACTTCAAGCTAGGTCTCAGATCAAAATCCTGCGTTCAGGTACAGTTTGTCACGAATTGGAGTAGGTCACCGCTACTTGAGCGAACTCGGACGGATTGGTTGACTAGCGTACCAACTATCATCTGCACTCAGCAATAGTATTTTGGAAGTGCACAGAAAAACCATGACAATATATTGGAGTCTACATTTGGGCCCCTATTCATGAGGACCTCAAACATGGCGCAATGCGGTCTTGCGAGTTTTGGGCGACCAAGGCGGCCAAGAAGTGGACGGAGGCCCAAAGGTGGGGAGCCATCACGTGTGCAAATGGTGAGGGTTTGTCAAGGTTCAGGGCCTTTTGTCGTGTTGTATATTTAACCAAGAATGAAAAAATATTGACGGAAAAAGCTTGGATAAATGCTGGAACTGTGGTGTTCCTCAGTCTACACGCGAAGATGCCGGCACAGAAGCGCTGTGGATTATGCAGGGCCTTCTGACAATGGCTTATTCACTGTTGAGCTCTGACATTCATGTCCAATGTTTTCAAACCGTTTTTTGGGGGGCATCTTGGCGCTCATGGCTTCGCAATATTCGGTGCTGTTTGTGACTTGTGACCTGGAGCCAGGATGCGGCTTATGGAAATCGGGTGGCGTTTGCGGAGCTGTCGGGCAACACGCTGCTGGTCCCTTAGTGTGCTGCTGATCAAAACAAATAGGGCTCTGTCTGCTCATCCTGGCATGTGTTGTGGGCGCTCAGCGGGGTTTTTCCTGCGGGGCCTTGAGTCCTGCTTGTCATACGCAAGGGCAGGACTGCATGCTTCATCTCTACCTGTCCAGGGCTCCAAAGGTAGCAGGTAGAACATCTGGCGGCTCAGCACCGCCTACAAAGCACCAACTTTCAAACAAGAGACGTCCTTGCTACAACAGAGAACTTGTTTCGGTGCAATTCCTTGGACCCTTGGAGCCATGGCGGATTCTGCACAGAAGGCGCCGCTGAAGTGAATGTGGTCAGAGCGCATGCGATTAGGTCTGGTGCGTGAAAAGACCAGGGTGCCTACAGACCTTCCCGAAATCTCAAAAGTTTTCTCACAAGGGATCATACTCCTGGCTTACCCTTAATCCCAAATTGCTTAAAATGATGAGCCCTTTGGGGTGGGTATGCGAATTTGGAATCAACAATTCTGACGTCAGGCACGGTACCTGGCCATGCGCCAAGCTTTGGCAGTGATCGAGGCGCCATCCATGAGTTAATGAACCTTAAAACCTTTCTTTGTGGAATTTCGCTGCAGAGCCATCTGCATCTTCCAAGCCTTACCTGCCTTCTCCGAGAAAAACAAGCTTCATGGCTTCTATAGAAGCCATCAAAATCCCACTCCATCTACATTCAACACGATCCTACCTTCCCTTCTCCCTCTCTTGCAGCAATTTGTATCCGGAAAATGTTCCACTTAGCAGTATTGGGGCTCTATAGGGTGGTGCAAGATTTCTTCCATCCACAGTAGGATCCCAAAAACCCGTCTACGAATGAAATCCTGACACGCATATATCATCATCCTTACATCAGCCTGTGGACGCCAACAAAGGGACCCAGATTCCTCCGGTAGGCGCAGCCAGACGGCCTGTGTGGCGGCTGTGCGGAGTGGCAGGCCCGGCACCGCCGGGACACGAAGCAGCTGCTGCAGGTACCGGGAACATTAAAAGTGATTCCATTCGGATGAGTATGTAGCGGATGCCTTCGGGTTTAAGGGGCAATGGCCATGTAGGAATATGCTGATGGATCTCTCGGGGTTTGGAGGAAAAAACGGAGGTTCCATGGGGGTAGGGTTGGCATGCAAATAGCCGCTGCAAAAGCTGGCTGACTCGAGTTCTTGTGTCCGAAGAAGTTCTGCTCATAATAACATTTTCTCATCCGTTTCAGGTACTGCCAGGGCACTAGATTTGATCATTACAAGACTAGCAATGGAGTAGTAATTGTCGTTCTTTGAGACATTGCGCCCATACCAGGAAGTCGCCCATTTGCGGGCGGCCCTGCAGAAGGCTCTCGCTCAGATGGCGCAGTTCCTGGGTTGCCTGCGGGGTGTAGCGTGTAGTATCACCTTCTTGTAAACAACCTGTATTCAATATTCCTGAAAGTACCCGCACTTCGAATGAGAATCATTCACAAACCGTTACAAGCTAGCGGCATGAACCGCTTCTATTGGTTTAGTGCTATTGTTTTTGATCCTTTGCCTGGCAGCATGACGCCGGACTTATGTGAGGATTCTTTATGCTTTTTACCCACAATTGGACATCCCCCTTATGTACGTCAGCCTTTTGTATGCCTCATCCACCCGAAACAAGACGCCTAACTTTTGAAAACCCAACATGGTGCTACGAAGTCAGCTCAGGCTTTTGCCGCCGGAAGACCTCCTCAGATTGCAGGAGGTGCCTGGTGCAGCAGAGAACATCATCCTCTCTCTCTCTCTCTCTCTCTTGCTGTCTTCCTCTACCTCTTTCAACTATCTTTCTTTTTGACAGCGCCAATGCCATGGGAACAAGCTCATGTTGCTTCCAGGGAATTTTGAGCGGAAGCGGTCGTCCTTTGTTCAAGACCCAGACCAGGAGGTCTAGCAAGCCAGGCCTTTGATAGATAAGCTGACATGTCGATCTTGGCTTTGACGATGCCGTCTGACTAAGGAGCTCAACCTCGATTCGCGCTGCTCGGATTGAAAACACAATGGTAACTGCCATAGTACATGTGGTTATTTGGGAGCTATTATCAAATGAATTGCATTTGGGTGGTTGTCAAAATTATGGCCCCTTTTGGGGTACCCTAAATATTAGGTGCCGTACTATAATAAGGATCCAAAAAGGGACCATAATTTTGACAACCACCCATTTGTTTGTCGTCTCTTTCAGCATTGCTCGCGCAGTGCTCTGGGGAGCAGTATCAAGGCCTGTTTGGCCATGTCTCCAAGCCCGGCATCACAGAGAATGATCTCGCACTTGCCTCAGAACGCCGTGCACCGTGCAAGTTCTGCTGCTGCACAGCGCGCACTGCTCTGAGATGTTTGACCTTCCACTGAGGCAGCGATGAGGTATGGGACTTACTTGACATCTGTTTCCTTGTCTTGCACCAGTTTGGTGCTCTTTGTTTGAAGTGAGGCTGGCTAGCGTTGGCAAGGAGGTGGCCGACCTAAAGGCAGAAAACGCAGCGCTGAAGAAGCGACAAGCTGAGAGCCCTTTAGCTGCAAGATGTCAGGCAGCTCCAGGGGAACAGACCTTTGCGCTTCAAACCCTGCTTCTTTAGCCGGTCGATACTTACAGCTGCGCCTGCGCTAGGTCACCAAGCAGCTGTTGAAGGTAAGATTTGCAATGGTTTCCGAACTACAGTAGCTGTTCTCAACAGGGTTTTTTTCTCAGCTGTCGCCGAGGTGATGCAGAGCTGGCACAGCAGCGGCAGCTGAACGCATCGCTGGAGAAGGAGCTACGGCAATTGCGGGAGCTGAGGCAGATTCAGACGGAGGCTGGGGATTTCAACATTTGCCGGAGAGTCGGGGCCTCATGCCGCCGCAGCGATTGCAGCTATTTGAACTTGCCTGCCAGGCTGGCGGCCCCGAGTTTGCCTTCGGGACGCGAAGAGATCGCACAAAACCTCAGAAGACAAAGGACGCTTCACGACACTTCACGTTCTTGACATGCTGTCCTTCACGGCAACTTGCTTCACGGCTTATGTCATGTGAGGCATATAATGCATTGCCCTGAGCTGTTGGCGTCCGATGTTTAACGCTGCAGGTTTCGATATGCTAGTTACCTTGATGATGACGAGTCCAGATCTGCGGACGCAATGAGCATGTGCAACCTGCTGAGCAGGACTTGTCTCTGTTCCCTCGGACTTGGTCGAAACAGATGGAGGAGCCTGTGCTCAAAGCTTAAGCCACAGGCAACATCTGCCAGTCTATTGCGGTGCCTGAGTTGCTACACTCCTGGGTTCTAAGATTTTTTCTGAGCTGTGAGGACTCCTACTTCAGCCGGCGTCCCTCGAGACCGTCCGTGATCAATGTGAAGCTGGCTCCATCGACAAGCCTCGGCCGGCTGGACCTCAGCGGGAACCCTTGATGCCTTCACCCGGCTTTGGAAGATCCTGAGCCATGCGCTCTCAGCTTTGACTTGGACACTGGAGACATCTGGAGACGACAAAGTTTCACCTGTAGATGGTGCAGACTGCAGCCAGAGGCTACGGCCAGCACTCGGGTAGAATTTGGCCTTTCTGATCACTTGGAAAAAACTTCAGTGCCATCGATGGCTGTCTTGTGTGCAACTAGCCACATGCCTAGCAAGGCCTTCCGCTGACCAGAAGACTGCGAAGGCTCACTTACATCAGTGCCCAACTTGTACACGTGCAGCATCCGCTTATTACTGTTTGCCCTGAGGAATTCGGGACTCTGACAGGAAGCATTCAAATGAACGGGGGACAAATGAACGGGGGACAAGGAGCGACCCCACCCTTCACTTCCGTCACCCCATCTCCTACTTTCCCTGGATTCCGGCTCACCTCCTGCCCCTCCCTTACCCCTCCACCCCCACCCAATTCCTTCTCCCGCTCCTCAAGATTGCTTTTCTTGGTGGTTTGACAACGACCAGCACGTCACAATTTGAACCCGTTACGTTGTCCTACTTCTTTCTGCTGCTCCCGATACCTGGCTGCAAACACTTCGTAAGAGGTTTGGTGGTGAGTATTTCAAGACCCAGGAGCACAGTTTCGGAGAAACTGGCCCAACATGGTTCAACTTGTTATGGGCGACTTGCTACTATATTACAGTATATTATAGTTTCTTTAGTATCTGATAGGGGGATATAAAGATCATGGAACATAGAATGGAAATATGGAAGCCATTATCCACGTGTCCTTTATGGCCGGTAAGCTTGGAGTTTCTGCACCTTCACCAAAGCGCGCGACAAATGGTGAAGCTGTCAGGCTGTAGCTGTAGCTGCATCCACTTCGTCTTATCACACCTCGCCAGGCCAATCTTCTGGTCACTGAGATCAACAGCCTGAACGAGGAGCACGGCTCTCAGCTATGTTGGTGTGCCTGCTAGAGCAGAGTGAAGGCTCGCTGCAAAGTGTGTACACCTGCTCATGGCTGATCTCAGGCGTCGCGATCTACGCCAGCAAGTGGCCGCTGCAGATGTGGATGGCGCGCAGAAGGAGCACGCTGGAGGGCTCATTTTGCGTTATTCCAGCGTCCAGCGTTTGTTATCCTGGAGGCCCATGAGGCTGCCTCAGACCTGGAGGGCGCCAAGGGCCGATACCTGGAGTCCCAGCGTGAATCTTACAAATTGACATACTGGATTGGCCCGCGGTTCCACTCTTCCGCCCAGCGCTTAGGTTGCGCAGGGACCGCCTTCGTCGCCTGGTCAAGGGCCTTGAAGGCAGGGATAAGCGTGAGGTGCATCAATCTGACCTCAGTCGCATTGTCAGGAAATCACGACTCCCCGCAGCCAGCCTGGGCCTCAGTGTTAGTGCATCTGGGATGGGAGATTTCAAGTGTCGCGCATGCGGACAGGTGCCACTGCAGGAGACAGAGCGAGAGCTGGACAACCAGGCGGGGGCACGGAAGGCTCGTTTCTCCATGTCAGGGTAGCGCTCGCGACGCTGAGGTGAATGCTCTTCGGCAGGACACGGAAAGCCTCGGGCAACGCCCGAGACCTTCAGATGAAAAGGGTGTTTGCATCTGAATTCGGTGGGAGATGAGAATCGAATCGACTTGGTGCCAAGGTCGGCAGGCCTTTGTTCAGGAACTGCAGGACACCCGGCGCCTGGCCCTCAGAAGGTTTCGAAGAGCTGACCTCACGCTTCTTCTGTTTGATGCGGAATGCGGAGGATGTGAGCCTTTGTTCAGCATCGCTGCTTTCTTGTTGAAGTTCAGGTCTGGTGGCCCAGCATACTGCAGAACTCCGGCAAGCAGAGGTTGGCCGGAGCATTGTAGGGAAGCAGGGAAAATCCAGTGACTACTGCAAGATATATTAGCATGACAGTTGGAGAATCCATGCCTCGTTGCAGGTCGTGCCAGTATTGATAGGGTTGAGATGTCTACAGCAATGCAGTGGGCATCTGCGTTTAGGATCTCCCATGTATCGAAGAGATTAGAGGCATGATATTGGCAGCGATGAAGGGGTCAGCAGCCTATTGATTCATTCCCTTCTAGCACAAAGCAAGTACCCCGTTTGCTGATCTGAGAGGAGTTGGGCTCCGAGTCTCTGGCGAAGCGGGCTGCCCTGCAGGCAGCCGCCCCTTGTTATGGTCTAGTGTCCAGGCTTCTGCTGGGGTGAGGATCGAGATTTGGGTCAACACCTTGTATGTCTACACAAGCAGAGAGACAAAGGGTAGCACCTGAAGCTAAGCCAGCTTAAAATAACCTTATAATCCCTATATAATCCGATTATGGTTTTCCATTTTCTTTTCCATTATCCCATTAATAACACCCTAAACCCTAAACCCTAAACCCTAAAATCCCTATATAAGGGTTGCGCTGCAGCTCGAGCTGAAGCTGCTCCAAGAGAAGATCTTCGCCGTAGAGACCGAGCGGCAGGAGAAAGGGAACTTGAAGTCCGTATATACCCTAGGTTTAGGGTTCAGGGTTTAGGGTTTAGGGTTTAGGGGTTTAGGGTTTAGGGTTTAGGGTTTAGGGTATAGGGTTAAGGGTTTAGGGTTTAGGAACTTAAAATATTTTGGGGTTATAATGGGATAATGTAGTATAATGTAGTATAATATAGTAGAATATAGTATAGCATAATATAGTATAATATAGGGATTTATTACAGGATATACATATATATATATATATACCATAATGGGGTTATATAGGGATTATAGGGTATATTTTTGGGGGTTATAATGGGATAATGGAAAAGAAAATGGAAACTACCAGAATGGGGTTATATAGGGATTATAGGATATATATATATAAGGGTTATATAGGGATAATGGAAAATAAATTGGAAACTACTAGAATGGGTTTTAAAGCCTAACATGTTGGGCGAAGCAGCTCTCGTGGAGTCGTGTCATGAAATGTCCTGGAACAGCCAGGATCTGTGGCACAAGCAGCGAATTCTTGGGGAGCAGTTTGAAAACGCCTGGGAGGTGGCAACTGCTGAGGCGTCCCATCTGAAGCACGCATGGATGCGTGTGACAGGATGCAATCCCATCTGCTGAGTCCACTGTATTTCTCTTCAAAGAAATACTGTAGTGCTGAACCTTGCGGAGATTTGAGTTCATGATTACTTTATGGACTGGAGTTTGCAGCATCTTCACTTCCATGCTCTACAGGAAAGCCTAGACTCGTCCTAATCACGAATGCTGGCCTAGCCCAACTTTCTAGCGTCACTTGCATCTAAGTGATCTGGATTTTTTGCGTGACATTTCGACGAGCGAAGTGGCCGTTCCTCAGGGATATTCCGAGGCTGCAAGAATCAAAAGATGAACCTGCTTTCTGTTTATGATTGATATACCTCCACAGTCTGGTGCCTGCGGTATTCTTCAATTTCGTAGCATCATGACAAAATCACCAACAGCCACAACAATGCTGAGCTTCGTCATCATAACAGCCCCTCCGCCTCCCAAATCTCCTCTATATAATCCTATTATGACCCTATATAACCGTATGATAACCCTATATTACCCGTATGTATCCCTAGTAAAACCCGTATATAACCCTATGATAACCCTATATTTCCCTTATTTAACGCTATTTTACCCCGAATCCTCCGCTCTCTTCGCACCGTCCCGAGGCGCAGCGGCGCCTCGCCGCCCTCAGTGCCGAGGCCTCGCGCGAGGCCGGCGATGAACAGGGCCTTGGCAGGGGCCCTGACTTTTTCCGTAGTATAGTAATATAGTATAATATAGTATAATATAGTATAATACAGTATAATATAGTATAATATAGTATAACATAGTATAATATAGTAAAATATAGTATAGTATAGTATAGTATAGTATCGTATAGTATAATATAGTACATTATTGAACTTTTTTTTTGGCGTTGTATTTAGGGTTTTAGGGTTACATAGGGGTTATATAGGGATAATGGAGAATACAATGGGAACTAATTATTTAGGATTTTAGGCTTTTAAGGTAATTCCAGTTATGCTACATGTGGTGGAGGACGGAGGGCTGGTACTGCAGCATGCGTTACGAGGCGTGGGCATGGTATGTAATGGGACAAACCGCTTCTTCTGCCAGTGTGGCAAGGGCTTGTAGTGGAGCCATGTCAAGTTTGACAAGTCGGTAGAAGAGCTTGAACTATTCCTGATCCCTGGAAGTGATTCGAAATGTTTGCTATTTGTGAAGCTAGCGCCTGCGACTTCTCAGTATAAGGTCAAGCAGCGGACGAAGTGGAGGCTCCTGAAGCCTTAAGAGGGTTGCAGCAACTGAGCTTTAGTTGCAGTCTCAAGACTCCTTGCAGTTTGAAGGTTGGCCTCTGATCCCCATTGTGCAAGCATGAGCTTGGTGCAGGCGAAGTTGGCAGCTGCTGCGGCGGAGCTTCGAAGGTACCGGTTTGCGCAGCGTGCATTGAGAAACGTAGGCTCCGACGCCGCACATTAAGACACCCAAGTCAGGTGGCAGGACGCTCTCAAGTCTGTGACCCAGCGAGGGCCGGTCTTGAAGGCGGAATGCGCTCTTCTTCATTCTTTGTGTGATGGCGATGCGCGGCCAGACCAGACCAGGCTGCGGAAGATCCGCGGCTCCAGCCAGCGGCCTCAAACTCAGACTACTCAGATTACTTTGGGTGCTGATGCGTTCTTGATGTTTGATGCCCTTCTGAGGGCAGTGACATGACCCTTCGGGAGCATGTTCTTCGGGAGTCTCTGCGGGCGGAGCGGGCCGAGCTTCGGCTCCTGGAGGCTTCGACGGAAGGCGTCGAGGCGAGGCGAGAGGGTCTCCAGGACTCCTTGGCGGCCGCGCTCCGTCAACTCGATGATCTCAAGCAGGAACTGGAGCGGGGGCGTGGTGCAAGAGCCGAGGCCCAGAAGAACTGGGCAGAGGCTCAGCAAAGTTATCGTGAGGAGCAGTCTCGTATCCTGCGGAGCCAAGTTCATGTCCTGCAGTCCTGGAACGCC